CCTGCCCGCCCTGCCTGTCCCCCTGTGTGGCCCTCCCTGCCCTCCTGCCCACCCTGCCTGCCCCCCCCGGCCCTGCCTGTCCTCCTGCCTGGCCCTGCCCGCCCTGCCTGTCCCCCTGTGTGGCCCTCCCTGCCCTCCTGCCCACCCTGCCTGCCCCCCCCGGCCCTGCCTGTCCTCCTGCCTGGCCCTGCCCGCCCTGCCTGTCCTCCTGTGTGGCCCTACCTGCCCTCCTGCCCACCCTGCCTGCCCTCCCCGGCCCTGCCTGTCCTCCTGCCTGCCCTGCCCTGCCTGTCCTGCCTGACCTCCTGCCCGGCCCCTGCCCGGCCCCTGCCTGTCCTGTCTGTCCTTCCGCCCGCCCGGCCTGCCTACCCTGCCTGGCCCTGCCTGACCCTGCCTGCCCTCCTGCCTGTCCTCCTGCCCGGCCCCTGCCCGCCCTGTCTGTCCTCCTGCCCACCCCTGCCTGTCGTGCCTGCCCTCCCACCCGACCCTGCCTGTCCTCCTCCTGGCCCCTGCCCGCCCTGCCTGTCCTCCTGCCCAGCCGACCTTCCTCTGACCCTTCTCCACCCCCCTCCTTGCTCTCCACCCCCCCCCTTGTTCTTCAACCCCCTTCCTTGTTCTTCTCCCCCCTCCCTTCCTTGTTCTTCTCCCCTCTCCCTTCCTTGTTCTTCTCCCCCCCCCTTCCTTGTTTCCTTGCTCTCCAGCCTGTTCACCAGACCCACCCTCTGTGTTCACCAGACCCCCTTCCTTACCCTCCAGGCCTTGTTCTCCATCCCTCTTCCTTGTTTTTCAACCCCCTCCTCCTTACTCTCCATCCCCTTCCTTGTTCTCCATCCCCCCTTGCTTGATCTTCTTCCCCTCTTCCTCGCTCTCCATACCTGCCTTGCTCTCCAGCCCTCGTCCTTACTCTCCAGCCTCCCTTCCTGGTTTCCTTGTTCTCCAGCCCCTTCTCCTTTCTCTCCAGCCTCTTCCTTGTTCTCCTTCTCCTCTTCCTCGCTCTCCATCCTCCTTGCTCTCCATCCCCCTCCTTGCTCTCCATCCTCCTTGATCTCCATCCCTTTTCCTTGCTCATCATCCCCCTTCTTGCTCTCCATCTCCCTTCCTTACTCTCCATCTCCCTTCCTTACTCTCCATCTCCCTTCCTTACTCTCCATCTCCCTTCCTTACTCTCCATCCCACCTTCCTTGCTCTTCACCCCCTTCCCTGTTCTCCACCCCTTCCCTGTTCTTCACCCCCTCTCTTACTCTCCAGACCCTTCCTTGCTCTCCAGTCCCCATTCCTTGTTCTCCAGCCCGGGGCAGAGCTGGGCTGGGCCGGGCTCAGGGGAGGTGCCTCCTGCAGACCTTCCCAAGGTGGGACAGAACCACACCAGGGTTTGGGCTGGAAAGGCCCTTAAGGATCATCTCATTCCACCCCCTGCCATGGGCAGGGACACCTTCCACCAGCCCAGGTTGCTCCAAGACCCATCCAACCTGGCCTTGGACACTTCCAGGGATCCAGGGGCAGCCACAGCTTCTCTGGGCAACCTGGGCCAGGGCTTCATGGCTTCTGGTGACATGGAGACCCCAGTGGAGGCAGATGGGTTTTGCAGCCCCCATGAACAGCTCAGAAACCAATGAACTGGTCACAGCAACCCCCCAGTGCCACGAGGGAAGGTTTGGGCAAACCTGATGGAGCTGTTCC